GTATTATTAAATACCAGTTTGTAAGCACAATACTTTTAACATATATTTCCAAAATTTAGAATGCTTTTGAGTTTAAGAATAAAATCTTAGAATATTTTAAAGCTTTTCATTTAATAAATGTCTTTAATTTCATTTATATTACAAGATTAATTGACTTAATATTGTCAATTAAATATTTTCCAAGGGTCCTTTTTTGTCTTCATTAAACATTGTATTTTGTAAATACTATTTTGGTTTACATATGATATTGTTTATATGTTTAAATAATGCCAATATTAATATATATACTAACTGAATTATTTCAATTTTACTTAATTTATCTTTTATCTATTTTAATATTTGTAAATAACCCCCGGTTCGGTATCTTGCATAACGTCTTATATCTTATGAAATAAAAATTTTCAACATATGTTTTTTATATGATTTTGAAAGCTTATTTAATGCTCTTTTTAATGGTATAAAATATTTTTAAAAAAACGATTAAAATTTTTTTTGCTATGAGGGCCTATTACGTCATACCACGTGACACAAACCATAAGTATTAAGTGACACCTGTCACTTTTTAAATCCTTTTCATACAAGGATCTCATATCAACAAAAAGTTTGCTTGTAACACGTATGTGCATGCGAATAGTTCTTTTGAAACATAGTGACCTGCACTACATATTTAAATGTGGAGTTTTTATAATATTATAAAAACTCCACATTTAAATATGTAGTGCAGGTATATACCTGAAAGTGTCATAACTAAAACATCAAATAATCCTTCGTCCGCCACAGGAATAATATTGATCATTAATGTTAAAAGTATATAAAATAATAAAGGAACAATATATTTAAAAATCTAAATTTTTTTATACTTTGACAACCAATTCATTTCAGTTCAACTATTATCAATGTATGTTACATTTTTTTAAATTAATCAAAACTAAATAATTGAAATATCCTGTAAATAACAGAGTTGCGCCTAAATTTAAACTATCAGAACCAATAAAAAGGGAGCTTTCGCTTTTTTTTTTTGGTTTTTCAAAGAGTTTTAAACGTTATTAACGTATAAAAACTTTTTTCTAAGTTAAAATTAGGTTCCGATATGGTTTTTTTTAAAAAAAGTTACGTAGAACTAACAATTAAGTGTCTCAAGTAAAAAAGTATTAGATTAATTTTTTTTTTCTAAATTTTTTTTATTGCCTTATAATTAGGACTAAAATGGTCCTTGATCTTCTCTAACATCTGACTCTTATCTCACAACTTCTAATAAAATAAAGTAAAATCCACAAACATTTTTAATGCTAAAGGAAAGCCAAATTCTTAATTCCACTCACAGATTTATATCTGTAATATCTTTTTTTCTCAAATTGCTTCAATGTGTTCAATAGACTATATGATCATTCGACTGTAACGTTGTACATAAAAAAACGTTGTACGTAAAAAAGACAGTTTTACAGTTTTTGACTCTGCAGATCAGACTTTTTTACTACTTGACTTGATCAGCAAATTCTAATACAAATAAACTAGAACATTATAGAATATAAACTCTAAACTTACTTTGCTTTTAAAATTTTCTTTCAAACAGAAAACATTGCTATTAATGTGAAACCAACCAAAACAACCAAAAACACTATAGGTTGTGCAGTTCCACAAGCTTCGATATTAAAATCTTTACATTTTTAACATCGCATTTATTAAATTTTAGTTTGTTTGCAAATCTTAAATCTTTTTTTATTTTTATAAAGAAGTAAACGAAGAATAAAGTAAATTAAAAGAATGATTGATATAAAACAAACTGTTCAAAAAAATAAGTTTTTATTGTTTCACAAATCTAACAAAACAAAAGAAATATCTCTTATCATACCTAACGTTTTAAATTGAAAAAGGCTAACAATAAAAGACATTAAAAAACATTTATAAACTTTGATAAAAAGTTTAAAATGGAAACTTTATTTAAACTCTATTGTAAAAAAGTGAAAAAAAACGATTGTGATTACGCAACTTTGAATTTTATTATATATATATATATATATATATATATATATATATATATATATATATATATATATATATATATATATATATATATATATATATATATATATATATATATATATATATATATATATATATAATATATTTAAAACATAGTTACTTAACTTACAACAAAATCAAGCAAGTTTTAATCGCACTAAAATCTTAATAGCGAATTTATTTGAAGTTCCTTTAAAAACTTTTTTCTAAATTTATAAGCTAAAAAAACTTTATAGCAAACAAAAAAATGGTGTTAGAAATGTATTTGAGATAATAGTGCTCCGGCTTTTAAACCTCTTTTAAGTACACAAGACTTTTAAATACTTTCACAGTTTTAAATGTGAAAGTGTTAAAACATCCTGTTCATGTGTAAAACAAAATATGAACTGTTTCACACAATCTGTGAAACTTATTTTATTTATAACATATAAATATTTAAATTTTTTTAAAGAAATAAATAGTAAATATGCTACAAAAGTTTCAGTAAACCCAGTGGCGTAACTATAAATTTGAAACCCTCCCCCCCGGGGTTATGCTTCCCCCTAGTTACGCCACTGAGTACCATTTTTTTACTTTTCTTATTCAAATTTGATTTCTTATTATAGGGGGCACAAACATTAAATTCTAAAAAAAGTACTACTTTATCTTGAAAATTCAAAATAAAATGAAAAGGTCTTTAGAAAAAAAGTGAGGGACACATGCCTCCCAGCCTACTACCCCCCCCCCCCGTGGGTTCAGCCTTGAAGATAGATTTTCGTCAACGAAAGACAATAAATATTTTGCGCAATCAGCAAAGCGCGCGTTCTTGCAAGTTTGAATTTATTCATTAAGTAAATAAAGATTTAATAAAGAGCGTAAAAAAAAAAAAAAAAAAAAAACTTAAGATATATCTAACTTAGGATATATCCATCAAATATTTAACTTGATTAGTTAAATAATTTTGATTTTTTACCAAAAGTAATTTTTACAAATTAATTGTCAAATCACATCATAATATGAACTTTTCTATATTTAATCTTTATATGTAAGATCTAAACCGAACAGTTCATTTTTATATTACTTGTAACATTTTTATATTACTTGTAACTTAAGAGTGTATTATAAAATTAACATCAAACTTATTAATTTTTTTATTTTGATTTTTTTAATACTTTAATACAACTTATTAAGTATTAAACAAAAAATTATTAAAAACACCTATTGTTTTGAACAAAAAACTCTAACAATGATCCAGTAGTATTTTTTTGATATCTAACTTAGTGAATAATGTTAACAGCATTTATAAGAATTAAATTTGTAATTAGGTCTAAATGTTGTCAAAAGTATAACAAAATGTAGTTCCTTTATCAATCATACCCATATGTTATTGCTTATATAAGTTGTTTTCCAATACACTATACTATAGTCTATATTGAAGTATTGTTTATTTGTATTGTATAAAGACTTTTGGATATATTATAGTATCTTTATACTCTAATGTCTATAATAAAAGGAGAAGGGGGGGGGGGTATAGTAAGCTTAATTTCAGCATAATCTACACTATGCTAAATTAGGTAACATAATATAAAGATAGAGCCTCTATCTTTATATTGTTTTAACACTGCTGCAGTCTTTATATTGTTTCAGCACTGCTGCAGTAAAGCTTATTACCCCCTCTCTTACTCTACTACTTACCTCTCTTACAGTTATTAAAATCTATGTGGTATAAGTTTCCTTAGTTATTGAACTACTGCTAGATAAAGGTTTAAGTTTTTACTTTTAATTAAGGTACTTACTTTTTAATTTTAGGATATTAAAGTATATGTTTAAAATAGTAAAAAAAAAAAAAGTCAAAATATGATAAAATTATAGTAATTTTCTATAATTTTTTTTATAAAGTACTAAAAAGTGTTAAACAGGCATAGATTTTTTTAGTTTTATGTTACACAAGCATGTTTGTAATTAAAAACAATTGATATTATGCAAAATACAAAGAAATTAAAATAGACATGTTTTTTTTTGAGGACTGGATTAGATATGTGACAATTCCTTTTTTTCTGTTGTTTGAAAAAGTTATAGTCAATTTATTATATTTATTTCTAAGCAAAGAACTGGAAGGTCATGAATATTTAATAAGTTGAGTATATGTAAGTAATAAAAAAGTGATTATGAAAAATACCTCATGGACACAAGAATATGACCATATATTCTTATATATATATATATATATATATATATATATATATATATATATATATATATATATATAATATATATATATATCTATATATATATATATATATATATATATATATATATATATATATATATATATATATATATATATATATATATATATATATATATATATATATATATATATATATATATATATATATATATGTTCATATCTCATATGTCTCATTCTAATAATCATACCAGCGCAAAAAATGATCAAAATGAGAGAAAACCTGGAACTTAAAAATCTCTTATCAACGGTAATGTAAGATTTTAAAACCGCTTGAAATAGACACCTATTGGTACATATAATCAACTTTAAATCAATTTTATGGGATGTTTTTTTGATATTAAGGCTTAAATTTACTTGGTGTGGATAGTAATTTTAAAATTTCTAAAATGAGTCTATAAATCATCATTTCTAAATTATCCAAAGCAGAGCAGCAACTCTTATATACCTTACAGCATTCAATCACCAAGAATTGTAATTTTTTTCCAGACGATACATGACTTACAGGAAAGATTTGTGGTAGCTATTTTCGATTTGACCTACCTAGGTTTTCAATATTGTGGTTACCACAATATTGAAATATATATATATATATATATATATATATATATATATATATATATATATATATATATATATACACACACACACACACATATATATATATATATATATATATATATATATATATATATATATATATATATATATATATATATATATATATATATATATATATATATATATAACAGTTAGACATGGATTGGGTGCATTGCAATACATGTTTTGTTTTGGCATCAGATGGAAAAAGTAAATTTCATTTAACAAGTTGTGGGCACATTTTTTGCAATGAATGCATTTCAAAAGGTTTCTTTTATTTTTTTCAAAGCTAATAAAACAACATTGAAATAAAACTGTTATCATTATTGTAAAAGTTTTTTTATTTTTGGTTTAATATTGATTTACTTAGATGAAGAGAAGAAATGTAAAACTTGTGGTCAAAATTACACAGGAGCAATTTATCTTTCAAATCAGGTTACAAAATGTTTGAAAATATGGTTCTTATTTATTGAATTTATTAAAATTTTAATCATAAGTAATTCTTATTTTTTTTTAAATGTTTTACATTAAGTTTATTAACAATGAAAGCAGTTTTTAAATTAAATATTTAGTGATTCTTTGTTACACATCAGATAATCTCAATATAAATTAAATCAATCTCAATATAAATATTACATTAATCGGTATTCAATTTGTATATTGTAATTGTGTATTATTAGTAATTGTGTTAATGATATGATGCAATGATAACTACTAAAATTATATTAACCTTTATGTTACATTAGGGTGTCCCTGTTTCCGCCTTTTTTTTTAATTTTGAGTTAAACTTTTTATGTGAGGTGCATAATGACAAAAAAAAATTATTGTGAAATTTTAAGACAATCAAACATTATTTAGGGGTAACACAGTTACCTAATTTGAGTAAATTGTAGTTTTTGTGCCTATTTTTCAACATTTTTCAAGATTTCGCGCTCGGTTTTTAAAAATTCATTGAAGAACATGTTATTTTTCATTAAGTAAAGTATTAAGGTAAAAAAACTGGGTTAAAAAAAATATCTAGGGGTTGCACAGGGCAGAAATAATGCTACTAATGTACAAAATTGCCTAAAAAAATGGTAAAAATTACTATATGTTTTTTAAGTTCTCTTTTTTCCAATGAGAGACACCGGTTTTCTCAACAATTGAGAATCATCGAAAACGAATAAAGTACGTATTGTAACTGCTTTGGATCTTTGACTCCTTGTTCAGCGCAGTTATTAACCACTTCTAAAAATTTGACTACTTTTTTAACATAGTTATAGTCCTTCATCTTTGTCAAATGTTCAACAGGTAGTTGCAACCAATTCACTTATTTAGGTTTCATTTTGAGTAAATCAAACAGTAGCCAGGAATCTGGCCCAATCAGCGACACAAAATTAGGAATTTTATTTAGTTCAATTTCTGGAAATTTTGGTTTTCCAATCAGGTTACAAAATTGATTTGTTCTTTTGATGCTAAACAATGTCAAAGTTGCGGCAGAATGTTCAATTGCAGGAACAGACTCATCAATTAAGATAAATACAACTAGCTGTTGGGTGAGATACCAAAAATGCCTGTAACACGACAGCATCCGCTGCTGTACTGTCAAATTTGTGGTACCGCTGCATGTCAGTGATGTACTGGCAATCAACATTTGGTTCAATGATGGAAATTCAACTTTGCAAAAAAGCTTTTGCTTGGAACAGTGCAATTAAATCCGCCATTCTCTTAATTGGTCCGGGTTGAACCAGCTAATTTGTTTGCCCAACATTGTATACTTAAAGATGTATAGTTCATTGTGCATGAATCTAGCACGATGATAAGCACCAGGTTTCTTGAACCGAAAAGTCTTTTCATCTTTTCATTCTCCGCTAAGATAAAAAATTACCTGTTCAATAAGTTCTTGATAATCTTCTCTTGGAAATGTATTTTTTTTGTAGACAATTGCTGGCCCATTTTATAAAAAGTTTTGCTTAACAATTGATTGGGTTATCTCCATCTGCAGGAAATTGAAACTGAATAATATCTTTTTTTTTGTGGGAAGTTGAGTCCCAGTTATCCTGAAGCATTTTAAGTAGCGGCTCAATTGGCCCACTATGGTTTCCAATAACTGCTTACCAAATGTGCTTAATGAGTAACTCATAAATGTGGTGCCGTAAAACAGCGCAAAAAGTTGCACAACCGATATTCTTCTCATTTAAAACTTCACATCCTGCTTTGCAGCCTGTGTTACTAGTTGTAGTGTTGAAGCAAAAAGCAATCAAATAATCAAGTAGCTTCCATGGTTTAAAATGATTGATAAATTGATCTTTTTAGATTTTAATCTTCTAAACTTTAAGATTTGAATCTTCAGCCAAACCATTCCACCCACTTTCAAGGATGGCAACATGTTCTTCTTTCTTTCCTGCAAGAAAAAAATAAAAATAAAAGTTATCTTAACATTATTATTCTACGTAATAAAGCAAAATCTGAATAGTTTTACTGTTAAGTGACGAAAAAAGTTTGCTATCCCAGTGACCGCATGGATGAAGTGGGTTGCATTCATAATTATATTTTAATTTATGAAATTGACTTTCTCGTTCTTTCTTTAGTCGACAATGAACATTCCATTTTTGAAATAGCAAACTGTTTAATTAGAGTTCTTATTCTCCGCCAAATCTCTTTGAGCTCATTTAATTGTGTTAAAAACATCATGGGTTGAACGATCCTTTTCCACTAATATTGTCAACTTCTCGGAGGTGCAAATATCTTCTTAAAAGATCAACTTTTAGTGGAAGTTTTGAACTAACAGCTAAACTTTTTACAAGACTGTAAAAAGTTTAGCTGTTGTAGATCCAATAACTTTGTCTCAATGATCTTTTCTTGTGTATAAAGTTTTTCCCACTCTAGACATTTTCAATTTTTACTAATATACTTGAAAATTTGAAAATTTAAAACTGAAATAATACAGTAATACTGTTAGCCATTAAAAATTATCAGTTGATAACATTACGCTGCCATAATAGAGTACATATAGAGTAATAAATTAATAGCATTTTTGATATGCAAGGATATATACAGAAAAATTTTGTGGAAATTTTGCATAGAACTTTCCAGGGAAATTCTATGGGAAATTCTCCTTAGGTTTGATAATTTCCCATAGAATAGCCCAGGGAAATTCTATGAAAAATTAAAAAAAAATTAAAATAGAATTTTAAATGCTTTTAAATAAATAATTATGAAAATGTTGATTTTTCAAAGTTGGCAAAATGACCTGTGCCACCCCTAAATATTTTTCTTTCAGCCTGGTTTTTTTACCTGTAATACTTTACTTAATGAAAAATAACATGCTAAAAGTTCTTGAATTAATTTTTAAAAACTGAGAGCGAAATCTTGAAAAATGTTGAAAAATAGGCGCAAAAACTACAATTAACTCAAATTAGGTAACTGTGTTACCCCTAAATATATAAATTCATATATATATATATATATATATATATGCAAATATATATATATATATATATATATATATATATACATATATATATATATATATATATATATATATATATATATATATATATATATATATATACATATACATATATATATATTTATATATAAATATATATATATATATATATACATATATATATATATATATATATATATATATATATATATATATATATATATATATATATATATATATATATATATATATACGTATATATATATATATATATATATATATATATATATGTATATATATATATATATATATATATATATATATATATATATATATATATATATATATATTACTATAAATATTGTGATTATCTTATAAATAAAATATTGCAATTATATTGTAGATCTTAGTAATGGCTGCCTAAAAAAAGTTATGTGTTTGAACCTTATTGATTTGCTTAACATTAACAATTGTATATATCTATTTTTGTGGATATTTTGTATTATGATTATAAAGTTATATAAATTCATATATTTAAATTATAACTAGTTCTATATGGTTGTATTGTAATAATGGAGTAACAACAATTAGGGATTATCTTATAGATATTATTACCTAAAATTAAAAATTAATAGTAAAATTTAAAAAAATTTGAGAAAATCTCAGGAAGTCTGCCTATATTTTTATTTATAGTAATAAAATGATTCATTTATTCAAGTAAAAAAGATTTAAAAATTACTTTTCAATAAAACCTAATATAAAATTTTTGAACTTGCAGAAATTGGCTTAAATTGCAGAACTTAAGAAAAAAATTTTAAATGATAATTGAATTGTTATTCTATTTTGGTTTGTTATTTTAGCAATACCGGAACCAAACCAAAAAATATTTTTTTTAAATTTAATTAATTGGAACCAGAACTAAAAATCTAAAATAGTTTTTTTATGTTGTGTTCATCAAAAAATACAAAATATGGTTTTACTGCTATGGCAAAATCTTTTGTAAATTCTGTCAATGAAAAACGGTTTTGATGGATCTTTTTATAATAATCTGGAAATAAATCATTTTTTATTTCCAGAAAAGTAAAGGATTTTATTTCTTAAGCTTTTATTTCTGAATTATTTCAACAATTAGGCTGCAATCAGGGTCCAATTAGGGTGCAGAAACTAATGCAATATTCAGTATCTAACAACATTTTTGTTGCAACTTTAAAACACAAGGTGCCCATCATCTATTCTCAATTACTTGCTTTTTTATCTAAACCTCTTTGAAATATGTACTAAATAGATTTCTATCTTGTCGCAATATCAAATATCTTTATATATGGTTTTTGTTGTCAGTAGTGAAAGATAATTTGGGAAAGTTATGTTGCTATGTTGCATCCATAAATATAGGAGTATCAACAGTTTTAAAATAATAATAATAAATTTTTTTTTTAACAGCTTCACTACCAACAAGGCTGCAAGCAACCACTATTAGAGTTAGAAATTAGCAAATTCCAAAGGACTTCGAGGTGACTTCGAGTTCGACTTTCGTTCGAGGAAGAAAATCAGATAAATAAGAATTTTTGAATAGCACAAGAGACGCTAGCTCTTTAGAGCTGTGTCTGTTATAGTATTTATAGAAAAAAGAAAGAACATTACAACAATGTAATAATGGTTGGAGGTTGGCTGCATGAGCAGGGGCAACTATGTTTACAATAAGTTTTTGCACCTTGTCTAAAAGTGAAAGGGCATCATTTGAAAATCTGTCCCAGATATGGCAACAGTATTTTATAAAAGGACAGATTTGAGGTTTATAGAGATAAAGAATAGAATTCTGAGTAAGAAAGTGGTGAGTACAATAAAGAGATACAACATTAGCAGATGCTTATTTTGCAATCGATTTGATATATGGTTTCCAAGAAAGATAGCAAGTAAAAGTTAATTCTAGAAGATGAAGGATAGAAGACTCATCGATTACGTTACTATTCATAAATACAGAAAGATCTTAATTATTGCGATAACG